ACGCTCCATTTTCCCCGTGTAGCCTTCCTCCCTAGTTCTTCACTCCCTCCCACCCTGTCCCCTGTATCGCCCCCCTCTGCCGACGACAAGGGAACACCACAGAAAAATCGGGTTGGAAGGAATAGACAAGGAAAGGGGAGGCGGTCATGAGGGAAGGGGGAGAGAGAGGAGGAAGAAAAGTGAAAATCCATTTTGAAACCCATTTTCAATTAGGGGTCCACAAGCTGTTATCACAGGTGTCCCAGAATGGGGGCCCGTAAGTGAAAATGTCTCCTATCCGTTTCTGAAATGAAACCTTATCTGGGAGGCACAAAGATGGCGGGGACAGCGTATCTGTAAATTACTTTCCATCCCCGCTCTTAACGGGAACTTTATTTCTGTCAGATGACATTCCCCTCTATTTACTGTTGATCATTTAAATGGCTGCCTAAAAGAGGTGGCCCCTGACTCTCGGGTATATCTCGCCTCCGTCTGCTGATGTTTTCAAAGCACTCAAGTGTGGGTTTTCTTCCCTAAACACTTTAGCCATGCTTCTTTTTCTGATCCACAAAAAGCAGCGGACCTTTTGCACTTAAGGCTTCTCCCTTTTAAACCCTGAGCAATAAAAAGGTCTTACCACAGCTATTTCATAAACAGATGTTTCAACCCTGACAAATTTCTCAGCTAAGTCTATTGCTTCATTCTATTACTTACACTAACTCCCGCTCCATTCCTAAACCCATATTAAAATCCAACCACAACCTTTTCCCTCTCCATATAACCAACCATATAGCCCCACCCTTGCTTCGTTTTTTATTAGCAAATTATCCCATGACGACAGGATTTATTCAGCCAGGGGGTATGGACATCTTTTTTTTTTTTAGTTTTGACCCAACAAAAGAATCAGGGGACTTTGTGGTCCACCTGCCTGCCGAATGATGAGTGAGGGAGGGGTAGGGACCCCGCGCACCCCTCCTAAAGAGCACCAATCACAGCATTGTTGTGGCACAGTCGGCTCTTTTGAGCTGTCAGGGAAGAGGAGGAGACATAGAGATGAATGGCACGCAGGATGAAGCCACCATTTAGCCAACCATGTGGGAACACTCTACTATAGGGCTCAGCAATTATTAACTCTTGTTTATGATAACTTTGATGAAATGTACTTTTAATTTTAGTGCTCGATGTACTCCAAAGCAAGTTCATTACTGTAAGCATAACCCAACTAATAAATATTTTAGGGGCCTTTGTCATTGAACTTCAAATAATGGGTAACCATGTATCTGGAAATTAGAGATTTTAAGATGAAGGGCTCAAGATTAAAGGCGATTTATAATGTATTTAATTTAATGTAAATTATATTGTAACTCATGCACAAGTTTAGCAGCAGTAGCTTCTCATTCAAAGTTGTGAGCCATCAATAAAACCCATGAACTGCCTTTGCCCTAGTTCACTTTTACTGGTACTGTTATTAATGTACCAAACTTTTCACCCTCCAACTTATTCTTCAGTTTACTTCCTATTTCAATTTCCTTAGTAGAAAACTGGACTGTGCAATATATTTTTGTCTAGAACTTTGTTTATGTTGTGATATTGTGCTAAATTGACTTGAGTTTTTAGCCCAGGAAAAGAAAATCCTGGAGCTGTGTTTAACTTCATTCAGAGCAGTCTTGTATATTTTGGCTCTATCTCTAAAGCTCAAAACGTCTGACACCACTGCATGACGTCATCAGGTGGCAATCGAGGGTGCTCCTCTATGTTTTCCAAGTTTTTAACCTCACCATTTCTATCATTTCAGCATTAAAATTGCCTTGACTACTCAGTAACTTCATGCTAATAGCAAATGGTTTAAGATACATCCAAACTGCTTCACTCCTCATGCAGTGATTTTTGGTATTTTCCATACTACAAAAGCTTAAGTGTTCTAAAGTAGCATTAATAATTCATAATAAGGACATTATAGACATTATGTTATAGTTGTTTCCCTTCACATTTACTGTCTCTAAGTTGTATTTAGATTCATGCAGGTTTGAGCAATCTTTCTACTCCTGTATTCAAGACGTCATTGTTCCGTTCAACCTCGGTTCAACCTACTGCTCTGTACTTACTTTGTTCTCCACTTCTATTTTCTTTAATCTGTGATACGTGTAGCATTTGGCAGCGTTGCATAGTAATTTTGGTACAAATGAAAAAAAAAATCTTCTACCCGCTAGCGTGATGTGCAGCTATCCAGAGGAGGTGCCGACAACTTCATAGGTCTTCGTTGTGATGATGTTTAAGGCAATGTCAGCTCCCAGGCACCGCAGTTAACACAAATGTTAGTGGACTTGCTTCTTTTATTATATCATTTTAGGTCAATATTGTGATTTCAAATGTCTAAATTATAACACAATGATGCACGGGTGTCATAGATTATAACTATATAGCAAACACAAGCACGATATGTGTAGTTTCAGTAAAGTTCCTCCCTTCATGCAGATATGAGATAGTGTCTAAAGGTAATCTGACCAGATCTGAAGAAGCTGTTTAGACAAACTGTGAAACGTCTTCACACTGCTACAAGCACAATATGTCTTCTTTAGGTTCTGTGTTGTCTATGCTCTACTTTCCATAACTTCATTGGACATCTTGTTGCTGAGCTCACCCCAGGGTTTCCAAGACCACGATCGGGGGCAGCCGCAGGACTGGGGCAAATATTTGGCTCGTGTCCCACTCAGAAGAAGCAGTCACCCAGGTTCCACAGCTGCTCACAATTACCTTTTGTTTGCATGGAAGAGCAGGAGTAAGGGCTATGGGGGTTAAAGTTGAGACCAGTGTAGGGTTACACCTGATAAGAGGTTATGAGTTCTGGGGCAACTTGGGAATGCACTGTAATTATAACCACACAAAGAATGTGTAAGCTATCTTATGATTCTGCGATGGAGATTGGGATCTTAAAAGGGACCTTTCTCAGCTGATAAGAATCACCTTTCCCTCTTGAAAATGATCAGACTAGTGTATTTAGGTTAGGATTGTCAAAAGTATAAAAAATCAAAGACTAATCAATACTAAAGGTAGTATCAAATCTAGATACTCGTGAGCAGGTATCATTACAAAATAGCCATTCACAGGACAGAAATTAGTATCTTTAGAATGATCTTGAGCTGTATCAGAACAAGTATAAGAGCACATAGACTAGTATACACCCATGGGCCTATGGAACCTATCTGGACCACTGAGGGATTACACAGATATAATTCCACATGGTAATATGTACTATTATTTAATGCTGAAAATCACATTACATTGTCTAAAGAAATCAATATTGAGTATCAAGACTATTCCTTACAGTAGTATCGAAATCGAGTTTGAAATGTTAGCATCATGACAACACTAATTTAGGTAGAGCAAGTGTCCTATACATATCAAAGTGCATCTGCTAGTCTCCCAGGAGAAGCTTAAGAGAACAACTAAATCACTGATCATGGCTGTAATTACGACCATACTATGAGGAAAGACCCACAAAGATTTCATACATGCTTTTTCCAGCTTAATGTTTTCCTCACAGCTGCCCTCTTTATTAATAAAACAGTACGGACCATCTGGGAATTACAAAGAGTGAGTGTGTTCCCAAGATGCCTGAAAATACATTACCTTAGTTACTTCCTGTGTAACTCCCAGATGGGCAGCGGCATAGAAGGCTATTTAGCTTCTCTTGAGCTGTTTATCTTTGTCTCATACTTACGACGTTCTTCTCCGACTCCTTGAAGTTACAAGTGAAGTGTCAGCGACTTCCCCTGTCACCGGGCCACCACTTGAGAAAGCCAGCGCTCCTAAATCCCCTCGCCGCTAATGAGCACAGCTGCAGCTCAGACCACAAATGATCTCAACGGTTTTGTTTTGACTTCGACTTGGACGGTCCAAGGTTTTCAGCAAAGAAAAATCACCGTCTAATATTCCAACGCGCCGTCTGAATTTGGTGACAGAGTGAATGACGACAGGCTTAATGAACTGTACGCTCCCAGGCGCTTTTAATAGCATGTGTTAAAGACGCGGCTATGTAAACATGCCAAAGTTCCGCTACCAGTCACTTCATGAGTGCGAGTCACCCAGAGGCACAAGAATAGATGAAAAAGTAAACATTTGTGCTCTGGGACTTTGGGAAGGATCACTTTCATGTTTACTGTAACGCAGGATGCTTATCATGACAAATTGTCTTTTGAAGATTTGGCTAGGAACACTTAGGATCTTATTTAAATTCCACTTTTGCACTATTCACACAATTTAGAAAGTTGGTTTAAGTTGAGGTTAAAAGGTCCTATATTATGGTTCATCAAGTTTCTTAAGCCATTAGCCATGTTATTTCCTCATTGAAAGCATACCTGGAGTTGTGTTTTGTTTCATTCATGCATGTTTGAGTAATCCAAAATATTTAGTCTGACCTTTTCTCCAGAGCTGAAAACACTTGGCCAACTGTATGAGGTCATTCAGTGGAAATCCAGGAAGCGCTCCTCTGTGTTATTAGTTCACGTGCATTGATTAATACCGTCAGACTTCAAATTACTTTCAGAACACAACTAGCCATCTTCAATAATCTTATTTTTAGCCTCATTTGAACTGCTTCTCTCCTCAGTCATTGAGTCATTGTCCCACACTGGCAGCAGTGGTACTTTCCTAAATAAAAAACTGGTTGGTTTTACTAGTTTCCCATATACTAGTACATTTCAAAAAATGATTTAATGTGAAATACAGAGACTTAAGTGTTCAAAAGTAATTCTATAAACTGTTTCCTGAATTGAAGATTTGAAACAGTAACAAACATTTACTGATTAAGGTGGTTAAAAAAATGTACGTTTAAGCAAGTTAAACCCAACTAAGCTAAAATGGATGTACTTGCAACATAAGCTTTTCCAAGTCTTACTTTTCCATTTTTCAACTGCTAAATAAATGACCAGTCCCCTCAAACCTGGGAGTGTCCCAGGAGAACACATTATATTAGCATAAATCATGGTTGAGAGCAGTGTTAAAGACGTCACGGAGCCTACCATTTGAGGTGGTGCTTGAAGCCACCGCCTTCTCACTAATGTCATTGCGCGCTGATGATCCTTTGGTCGCTACAATGGTTTCCACCCTCTTCTTCTTCTCAGCTGCTGAACTGGCCTGGGATTGGGTTTCCATGATGATGGCTCATTCCTCAACACCTCATGGAGACGGAATACCTGGGGAACAAAGGAAGAGGAACAGGTATGATTAAGGTAGGGTTGTCAAAAGTATGGATAATCATACTAATCAGTACTAAAAGTAGTATACTCGTTTGAGCAGGTAGTGATAAAAAAAGGTCACATTCACAAGACAGAAATGAACCTTTCCTGAATACATTTAGAATGATCTTGAGCTGTATCAGAACAAGTATAAGAGCACATAGACTAGTACACACCCATGGACCACTATGGAAACTGCATGGATGACTGTGAGAGATTACACAGATAAGAGTGTTTTAAATGATCATTGTGGTATCGGAATCAGTATTGAGAATCAAGTCTTTTCCTTAATATCAAAATCTAGTTTGAAATTTTAGTATCGTGACAATACAAGATTAGAGCATAGTGGATTTATTAGTAATGAGTGTACATACAAACAGTACATACAAAACTGTGCAGATAAGTACTGCACCTGATTTTTACAGTCTTAAAATGTGAAAACCAGAACTAATAAATTTTCAACAGTTTGCAGTGGACTAAATTTATTCCTTACTTTCCTATTGCAATTCTAGCATCCTAATGCCCAACAACATTCTAACAACGACTAGCATGTTACCAGAACACCAGTACTTCCTGAACTGACAAAAAAAATTGCTTTTTGATTAGATGTTGAAATGCACACAGTCATCTCATTTTCACCCTAAGAGTCGCTTTTACAATATATCTGTACTGGGGGCCTACGGCTTCTCCAGCGCACCGCAGTTGCACACATAAATATGCAAAGGGTAAGAAGTACCAAGAACATGCAATAAACAAACAACAGGAAATAAACCATCAATCTTAGAGATAAAAATAGTTAAGAGTATTAGATATATTCAGAATATCACAGATTAATAATAAAAGGGTTACTCAAACACGTGTGAATAAAACAAAACACAACTCCATGTATTTTTTGGATGAGGTGACAACACTCATGGCTAAAACATGGCTTAAAGCTCAAAAGAGTCAATTTTGTGTAATATAGGTCCTATAAATTGTCAATTTTTTCATAGACAATGTCAATACAGATTGTTTAGAATCCCGAGGAACCGATGGCTGATGACCTCTACCAATATTTTTTGGCCCTAACAAAAATTTTTAGCAAACTCATCCATAACCTTCTTTTACTGCAAACCATGTAGACACATTTTTGCAGTACACTGTTTGGACTGAAGTGTTCAAATAAAGCTTTATTCAAACAAAATATCAACCTCTGCTGGAGATTTATGGCCGATAGCTGATACGCTAAAAAGGGCAAATATCAATCTCTAATAGGTTCTTTAAAATATCTGATGGGGCTAACCCAAACAGTGCTAGTGATGGTTCCTCCATTAAGGTAACATTAACGTCAACATGTCAATCCCCTAAATTAACTGTGTTGCATACTTTAGCTAATTTCCATGTAGTAGTTCAACATGAAAAAAATATTTGTCTTGTCTGATCCAACTTTAAACATTCTGTCAATAAATCGCCTGGAGAACAAGACTTCAACAGTGAGGCAGTTGTGGAAAAAAAAGAAAAAAAAAAAAAAACTTGAGATCCAACCTCCCTCTCTTGGATTCCCCGAGCACCCCCAAAGGTCAATCCACCAGCCCGACCTGATTTATTTTAACTCAAAACAGCAAGTGTCTGAGGTGGCCTGGATAGCCTCTCACCACAGCACGAATATTCAATCTTACATTTGACTATAACCTCATTTTCAACCATGCTAAACTTGTGACTTCTTGTCCAAAAACTTAAAAGTGCAACATAAATTTATACCTCGGCATAAAGGCAGCTTGTGGATAAACTGATAATCCCGCTCAAGTGAGAACGCAGAAACCTTAAGGGGATACCACAGAGAGAGAAGCATTGGCGGTGCTGAAAAAACAAGGCTTGTTTGAAGGCCCTTTTGGGAATATCATGGTGCCGGGCAATTTTTCTTTCAAAGAATAAAGGTGGTTCAAGTTAATACTGTCTGTGGGTTTAGCAGGGGTTGAGCCAACAGTCTGGTAGACACGCCGCTCAGTTCAGAACCTCAGAGGCTGTCTACAAACTTGATCTAGGTCACGGAGGTCCTTGATTATAAAGACTACACTGGTGCAAGCAGTCAGTCATTTACTCAAAGTACAGGACAGCTACATTATAAGGCAAAACCCACTTAGACGCCATCGCTCAAGCATAATTACATGAAATACTTAGCGCGACTAGCTAAGAGAGACCTGCTAATTACCTGGTAGTAATGTTGAATTGTTGTACGTGGTGTAAACATGCCCCAAGTACAAAGGCTAGCGCTAAAGTCGAGCCTAATGCAAACAGAGGCTAGCAGTGTTAACACCAGCACAGCAAGAGTGATTTCTACTGCCTCCCCAGGGACGTGCAGAGGTAGAGGAGGGGGTGGTGGATGGTGGTGAAGGGTAAACTTCAGACAAACACTCAAAGCTTTGTTTATTTTTTTCATCCAACCTCCAGAAAAACCAAAGCCTGTCATCCGTCCTGACCCGGCAACAACATCTGTAAGCAATCGCGGGGCTTACTAAAAAGAAGAAAAAAACACAACGCAATTACTCCCCTACCAATCAAAACAGAATTAAACAAGGGCTTGTCCTCTAATCACTCCCACATGTGCACATATGTAGTCGTAGTTTATGTCCTACTTTTGCAGATATCGTGTTGAATCATTGCTGCGGGGCTTTGATAGAAACGTTGGTTATGAAGGATCTATGGCAGTTAGAACATGTGTGGAGGCTGTCTTCGTGAATGTAGAATGAGTGATCAGAGGCGCCAGTCGTTCGAGAGTCTATAAATGACGATGCAAGACAAAAGAAATGTACATGAAGGGGTTTGAAGAAAGGTGACGTGCTATTAAGCAGTTGTGTTGGAGCTTTGACAGCCGTGGTGAATGGTGACGATTAACTTTGTAGAAACATTCAATAGGAAACGAGGGAACCGCAAAATTATGTTTTGAAATCCAATGATCTCATGCTGCGGAAGTTTGACTACGGTGTTTGACTGTTTCTGCAATCTACTGTTGACAAGAAAGAATAGGCTTGATACTCAAAACCAATTCCACCATCATAATAAAACATATTCTTTCTTCAGACAATAGAATGGAATTTTTCACAGTATTGTAGTACTTTCTTTTGTATTACCATGTGGTCTTATATTCAGTAATCCTTTAGTTATCCAGGTAGGTTTCATAATGGTCCATGGGTGTTCCGATGCAGCTCACAATCATTCTAAAACTATTCAGGAAAGGTTCATTTCTATTCTGAAAATGTGACTTAAATGAGTATCTAGTTGTGATACTAGTTTTAGAAACGATTCAAGTTTCGATACTTTGACAACCCCACTGCTATGATGTATAATTATGTAAGGGTGATACCGAGATATTCATTGAAACTAAAACTAGTAGTGAAACCAGATACTCATTTGAAAAGGTATCAATACTGGAAAACTATGTGACAAAACTGGACATTTCATTAATAACTTTTGAACGGTCTTGATATATATCATAGCTAGAATATGTCCACAAGTTAATATTTAAGAAAGTACTATGATTTTATTTTCAAAAGTGTATTCTATTGTCTTAAAAAATGTATTGAGTACCAGTATTTTTTTCTTAGTACATAAAATAATGCATTAGTACTCAGCAAGTTACTTTCATGAAAATAGGTATCTTAATAATTTCCTTTCAGGCAAGAACAGTTCTTTATAAAGTAATGCTTGTACAGGTACATATTTCTTTGAACAGTTACAATGTCTGTACTTTAACATTTAACGTTTGTATTAGTGAGCTTTATTTTTAGACTACTTGAAGTACACAATACAGTAAATAGGAGGTGAGCAATGGGGTGTAGTGTGGATGAGTAAAGAATCTGGCATTCCACTGGTCAGACAAATATTCACAAGGCCAAGCTACTGAAGCGTGTCTGACCGGCCTTTTGTGTTCACCAAGGCAGGCCACAGTTCCAAAGCAGCAATTAAAAGCAAGACCTTTTCACCCATAATCCGTCTGACCTGGACACAGCCACACAGCCAGCTCTGCACATGTTCCTGTTCAGTGTTTGGCATCAGAAGTGATCTTTGAGTATGTTCCACACTTGTACCGACAGATTCAGAAATTTGTCACCTCAACAACATAGTATATAGTTACAGATGCATCTTGAGCTAAAACAAGTCAGAACACATCAGGACACACTACCTGATACTGTTGTATACAATAAATGTTAATGCCCTAATAATGCCATTTATGTAGTGTCTATTCTATGGCCAATTAAAGAAGAGAGTGCATCTTCATTTGTGTGCCTGTCTCTAATCCCTCCCCAGCAAAAGGGAGGCGATTAAACAGGTTTAAAATACCACAATTCAGACTGTTCCCTCTGAAAAAACATTCTCATTTTATAAGCACATTAGGCAAATCAATTTAACATAAATTACACGCCTAGCTGACAAAGGCTCCAAGTTGAAAGTCATCTGCAAATTGTCGACATCAAAGTCAAACGCAAAAATAAACTTTTGCTTTTGATGGAGCATGAGCAGTGCTGTTGTTTTGTTGTTCAAACATTCAATCAACCAGTCTGTGTTTTCACAAGCTCTCTTATTTATAACAGGGTTTAAGGTAAACCTCCAGCGCAAGCTTTTATTAGGGACACATTTGCCAAATGCATACGAAATGAGCCCAGTTCCCACTTGGAGGAGGGGAACATTTGGACATGAACTCTTGATGTGTCTTCTTAGATTTGTTCACCTGCACCCCCACCACACTGAGGGTACTGTATTTGTGTTCATTTCATTAGGGCCACTGTTCAGTGTGGAGGGCCCCCTGAGGGAGGAGACTGGCAGCGCCATAGCATTCATCATCATTACATCAGCGACCACCGAGATCTGCTATCTTAGGCTTATCAGCGGAGCACAAACGCACCACAGCGCAGTAACAGGGAGGGAGATGGGAGATGGAGACGATTGAGCAGATTGTGAGCAGAGGAGGGATAAGAGGA